ATATATGATGCCATTATGTAATACTATAAGAAGGGTGGAACCCATATGATCATATTTTCAAAGGATTTTAGAAGCGAAGCTGTATTTAGTTTTTTTCTCTCAAATAGATGTTGTTTTCGATATCGTTGTTTGTGTTGTGTTCAATAACTTACTCAAGAGGCATACTTTAGTCATTCTAAAGGAACTGAAGTTTGCATCGATACTCTCACAACGTAAACGACCGGTACCTGATCGATAAAAGGCCTCTGTTGCCATCCCTATAGTAAATTACCAGTAACAAACATGCTTACTCTAGGCAGGTCCGCCACCAGTCAATATTAATCTCTGGCTCCAGGCCCTAAATACAGTGCTACAGGCTGGTCGCTCGCAAAATATTTTGCCTCATTAACTAGCTAGCTATACGCATCACCCTAATAGACCTATTTTCATACTATTCTTAAGCACGTTTCTTACCATAGCAGTTATTTAATATAGGAAACGTTTGACATTTATTATTTTAATTATGACTAAACTGTTTTGAGCATTCGAACTATTTAAAGATTAGCGATCCGCTTTTTAATGTCCACGTAATACCAAAATTATTCCATAAGCGAAAATCTAGAAAAATCATGACGTTTTGTCTGTTAAGTATCGATACTGACATATCGCTGCTGACAGAGTTCAGCGCCGTCCGAGGAAACATGCTAGGAGTTTTCTTTTTTTTTAAAAAAAAAACCAGTCGGGATTTATTTGAAAATGTTATTGACAACATCGTTGCAGGTCAATCCCCATCACGATTGAAATAAATCACGATACCTTCACCGACTTATTAAAAAATGAATACGTTTGGTTTACATGTTCCCTAGCCGAAGGTTACAGTTCAAATAGAAACAGAGTACGTGTTTCGAGATTCTACAGCACTAACTACGTTAGTCATTACAAGGACTCCGCTTGAGGGTTACAAGGTGAAGTCAGTGTTTCACTAAATATACTAGTATAATGATCCTGGCTCAGTGACTGTCTACAGCTTTATTATAGTTAGCCTGCGTCAACAATTGTCATTAGAATGAAATGCCTTTATTTCTTGTGTTCCATTTGTCCCATACTTCTATCGTCATTGATCCATTATTAAGCTGCATCTACCCTGCTGCTTAAAACAATAACAGACCACCTCGACTTTTAACTAGCCTATATGCCTCCAAACAACTTTGACTCCATCAGCATATGTAGAGTTGATCTCAGACTACCCCCAAGCATCCACCCTGTTAGAGTTACAAGCGATTCGTTGGCCAACTTCTGTATGTACATGTTCTATAACTTGCCAATATCTTAGGCACAGATTGCAAAAATGGAAAAACGCCACATGTTACCCTAGGATCAATTTTTTTTTGTTTACTTTTGTGACATCTGAATATAGGTGACTACAGGAATAAACAATGGCATGTTTACATTGAACCCGGGGTGGCGGCGCGGGTGTTATTTGCTAACAAACAATTGAGCCACGTATAATGGATACTGAACCCAAGTGTCATGTCTTTTTCCTGATACAGTTGGCCAGTTCTTCTGATAAGACGCTTTTCATTCGTTCCCCAACTTCCGAACATGTCAAACCTATTTTATCGTGCTGGAGAAAAACAAGCATCTTCATTCTACACCAATATGAACTTTTAAACTGTTAAAAAATCACCTTGCGTACTGAAGGTCACACTCTACAGGAGCAAAAATTGTCCCCGGAAAAGTATTTACCAGATATATATGTATATCATATACCAAAATCGTTGATATTTCATCAACAATTTCGCAATTTTACGAAATTATAGAATTGAACTTTTGAGAATTAATTCGAAAGGCCGAATTCATCCAATCGTTTATCTTACGCACAGCCTCTCCAGAATAAAACCAACTGAAAAAAAGGATAAAAAAAACAAATAGGCTAATCCAACCTGTTTACAGGGCCGATTTGGGTTGGATAGGAAGGCAGACGTCGTCTAGGTGGATACATGGATCTCGCCTCACGCCTGTCTTAACGTAGATCTAGCTAATCTGCTATTAAGCTCAACCATAGAATAGAAGCCATAGAATACACCAACAGTTATAACGGTGCGTAAAACCATTTCTCGTTACCTCTTTTAACTTGCTTTAAAATAAGTAAACTTGGTCCGCGCTCCATTTAAACTACGTAAACTATAACTTGATCTGACGTACACCTTAACAGTTATTCCCTATATTTCTAGTTCAGTGAATCTATTAGCAGTTATAGTTATTTTGCTTCATTCACAATGTTACGCGTTAAAACTAACTTCTATACAAGAAAACTTGCTAATTTACTAGGGTCCAAATGTAATCTTGCTGAGATTGTATTAGTTCAGCTAGCTCATGACAACTACCCGGTTGCAGTAACCGTGTCTCCTTTATTTAGCCGATTTCTTATTTTTCGTCAGTGGCCATAATTTCAGGCTGTGCCCCGATTCGAGACCTCATCTAACCCAACCCCCAAACCCTCCTACGACTCGTCCCGATGGGATGAGTTGTTAATATAATTAGAAATAGGTGAAAATCCGAAAAGTAGTTATTAACGATCGCCAATTTAATCAGCTCGTTGACATGGGAACTTTTTACACTTGAATATTCTCTAATGCCCACAGCATTAAGTAAGTAAATAATTATCATAATTAATATTATAATAGTGATACGGCTGCTCAACATTGCGGCGAGTCTATACTACGTCTATGACATTTGTTCATCGCAGAAATAAATATTACCATTGATGTGAATAATATTTGTCCTTTTGTTTTTTATTTAGTAGTGAACTGAAGGTTTGGCACCGCCAAATTCAATATTTATATCACATTTGACACAAATACGACACTATTGAAAAAAAAAAAAAAAAAAAAAAAAAGGTGCATTAAAAGACAGACAAACGTACATAAGTGGACAAAAATATCCGTCCGATATTCAGTCATTTGGGTAAAAGATAACCGGTTAGATAACCGGTAAAGAGGATAAGTGTACTATACATTAGGCAAAAAGCTTTCCGCGAGTCTTCAGTTATTCAAATATGACCCACAAGCGGTTGTACACGGCTAATTCTTCGAAGAAATATGTTTTTTTTTTTTTTTTTTCTGTAGAGCGTTTTTTTTCAGTAGCTATTATACCGAATTAATATGGAAATACCATAAAGCCCAGCTTTCTTCTTAAGCGCAGCCAGGCTTAAACAAAATATATTCAAGAACGAATAGGATAATTAGAAAAAAGCACGCACTACCTCCCTACGGTGATAAGCAAAAAAGCATATGCGTGAAAATATTGGTAAAAGTTAAGTAAATTACGTTAAAAAAGAAAAATCTTTTCAAGTTTGTGTAATGGCAATAAAGTACTTGCCTGATAAACAGCATGAAAAACAGTGTCTATTTATTGTAAAAAATAAATATGAATTTTTTTCTAATAAACTGATGTATATACAACGTTACTAAAAACACACACTACATTTGAGAAAAAAAAAAACGTTTATTTGTATAGAATACTATTACGCGCTGAAAAATAAGAGACTCTTTTACAAATCCTTCAGGTTAGTTTAGTGATTAAACATCAAGAAGTAATAATCAAGGCTGCTTCGCAATTGCCCTTGCAGTGTGGCTCCTGCAGGGCAATTGGGTCCTTTGGTCGCTCATAGGTAGTACGTTAGGGATGGTTAATGACAGATACAATTTTTTAATTCAACAGACACGAAATACGTTGAGTTCTATAGCGATTTGTATGCCGTTAGTCAAAGACGATTCGAACGAGTCCAACCTCTATAAAAGGTATAATAATGTCGCAAATAACTTCAAATATTGCTCAGTGCTTTTCAAGTTTACGCATAGATATTGTGTTAAATTTGACGGAACTATTATCTCCTCAACATGGTGTCATTGTCACTGGGGTCGATAATAGCTGGTCCATATTAGCAAAATATAGTCCGTGTAAAACTTCAGTTCGAAAAGCTCCATCCGCTTGTAAACCTGTAAATCGAAGGCACATTTTCCGACTTGACCAACTTCATGTTCCGCACAGTATAGAGTACCGATTTCAAAAGTCAGCGTTCCTAAAAGCCAGTAACAAAGCCAAGTAAAAACCAGGACGTGGTAATTCTGATCGTCCATCCAGTGAAACACATGGCAAGGTAAAGTGTAAAACTAAATTCAAATAAAGCTCAACTAATACAGAAGTTTCAAGATGTCCCCCCGACCCCTCCAAATAAGATAAGATAAATGTTTCACTTGATCAGACCCGTGGTCTCTCTTAAAGGCCAATATATAGGTCGCGGCAGTCTTTCGGTCAGTCGCGTCCATCTAAGCTAAGCAAGACTCACAAGTAGAGACATATCGATCTAAAACAGCGTTGAGAAAGGACCTAAATAGAAACCCTAGAAGCGGGGGACAAAGTAAAAAAAAAAAAGGCAACTAGCGTACCTACGTAGCGTACGTAGCGTAAATAACACAATACGATCAGTGGCAATGTTATTAAAATTACACTACAAAAGGATTTCACTTGATATATATATTGTTATCACCCCCACTATGAATATAAAAGACACAAGTTTCTTTCAAACACGCTAATAGCTTACCTTCTTTTACTTCTATCCCTGGGTGTTATACAGCATGTATCGGCCGTAGCACTAAACCAGCGACCCACAGATGCCGCCACATTAACATTACGCTACGCTAAAACGCACACACAGAGTGGGTATGCCACCAAAGTGGAGATAGCCTATTCAGTTGTCAAAGTCAAATGTATTGTACGTCAGAAATAAGGCTGTGACCGTACAAATGATCCACGATATTTAGGCCACTGGACTGTCAAACCCTTTAAAAATGTTACGCATCTACTGACGTAACGTGAGGACACCGAACGCAAAAAATAGATGTACGTCGAATCATCAGGTTTTCGAAGGTATATTAATATACAAAACAATATAAGCGATCGTATTATTACGGTCCCCATAATAGGATTTATGTCGAAAGCCTGGTACGGCCAAAGCGTTTTCTTCTAGCGGCCATATGTTAAAGAAGCGTTGTCGAACGAAGAAATCGGTACATTTGAATCGTAGCAACTGCTGTAAAACAACAAGTAGCTTTTATTTATATCTAGCTTTCTTTGTATAACAAATCACTCTTTTTTTTTATAAGGCATCACATTTGCGGCGCACAGCGTCACGGCAATCCACAAGACGTATTTACAATGGCACCATTAAATAAACCCTTCCTGTTCGTCGGCAATGCACGTCCCGTTAGCGTGTTTTGATTACTGGACAAAAAACGACTTTGCCCTAACCGAGTCTAAAGCTAGATTTCGATCTTCGACATGTTTAGCTTTGTAAAACTGAAACGGATTTAGACTTAGGCAAGTAAGGTTACAGGAATTGACGGATATCGACAAACGTTGCACCCTTGAATCTTCGATGCCTGTACTACCGATTCTTTTTAACATGTTTTTTCGATGCTGCCACGACTATTTAATATAGTAGCTTATAATAATTGCAAGGAACAATTTGCAGCTGACCTATCGATTGATCATATTCGCACGGCTACTTATAATACTGTCTTTCTAGCCGATTCGAATAACAGCTACCTTCCTTTAACCATGACTAGAGACTGAATACTAGAAATAAGCCCACTTTCGACCCAGAAAACACAGCGAAATATGCGATAGTGAACGGATACATTGTTCCACTAACAGGAAACTCAAAGAAAGAGGTTCGAATTTGGAGAATTAATCGTATTTTGTAACGCTCGACTGAGCATTTCAGCTTTTGCAAATGTATAACGAAAAGCGTACTAGGAGCGGGCGCGCCGACCCAACTAAACTTTACCAGTTGTATATATATATATATATATATATATATATATACATGAATAGATGCATAGCCATACATGCGACAATTCCGGTTCGATTCGTGTAAACTAAAGTTGCACTAATGCCTTACCGGGCGCAGCTTACCTTTCGTATAAACAATTCAGTGCTTACTCTCCTTATATGTCACCGTCATACAACTAATCATTACTCTGAACTTGTTAATACGTTGACTGATTACATTCTGATATGAAACAAACTTGTATTTCTATACAACAGAAGTTAGTGCACGGTTCAAGTATTTACCTTATATTTGAAACAGGCATACATAAAAGACCCCCATCGATACACGTCAACTAAAATGAACCGTGCGTGACAAGCATACATTCACCTGTACAGTAGGTACTTCTTTAACGTTCATCACTCTCACCCCCCCCCCCTCCCCAGAGCAGAGGAAAGGAAACAGCTTTAGGAGGGGCCAGTCAGGCCGCAGGACAAGAAAGGCTGTCCCTAAACGAAACTGTCCTAGAAAATACGATGGCACAGGCGACGTCCACTGACTGTTTAGTAGAGCTGCGCTAATTTTTTGTTTAATGCCGACTGTAATGATGACGACGATGAATGCGACGGCATTTTCAGGAAGTTGTTGGCCTGCAGGCTTGGCTTGCTCATCGAACGCGATACTCGACGGTAATAGTGATGCTGCTGCTGCTGCTGCTGCCGCTGCCGCCGCTGCTGCTGCTGCTGCTGCTGGATCGCGCTCATTTCAAGTGGGTTACCTAAAATCAGTACATATGGTACCCATGTAACTAGCACAGCCGATATTAATGTTGTAAAAAACAACTATTTTACAAAATAGCTACATATCGTAATGCTACAATTAACGATGCCTAATAATCGACTATGGCCGGCCAATAATTACTCTTCGAATCCTCTGTGTTGCAATATTCAGCTAAATTTAGTTGTTGTGACCTGTTTTTATTTGCTGTTTCCCATCTAAATCCCATCATGTGTTTATAGTAAAATGAGCCACTGTCGTCGATTCACCTGACCGAAAGGAAACATTTTCGCAAAATCGATATACCTCTTCAATGTGTATACAAGATGTTTTCGAGCACTTCTACGAATTGCTTAAAAAATAGATAGGAAGGATCATGCTCTAACGAAACAAAGGCCGGGTAAGAAGTCATAATTAGATTGTAGAGCGCTGCCTGTTACGTCCGACGACATCTTTGAGAAAAAAGTTTTTACATCGAGCAGTTTGTTTCGCAAGCTGTGTTTATTAATTTGCACTGATACTAGACCTTGCTGTTCGCTATCGTTAAAATAAAAAAAAAAAAAAGCTAACATATGGTACTGCGAACTCTCTGCTACAAACAGGCCTCGATCATCTTCACGGAAGAATATGAAGCCTTAGCGGTTCGTGTACAGTACGTCTTCAGAAATTCGTGTCAACTTCGATGAAGGTAATAAAACACACACACGCACACACTGTAAGTCAGCAGCTCCTTGAAAAAATAACAATCCCGAGTTCGATTTTTTGTCAACTTGAAACTTAGATCTATATTGGGAGCGCAGTGGGGATGTTAGATAAAGATATACTGCTGCAGGACGGGTGTATATGGAGAGGCATTTCACTTGTGGGACATACCATGGATCGGCTGACGATGATCGTGTCGTTCGCTTGCTGCGGCCAGCAGATTCTCCTTCAGGTCAAGCGATTTAGCGTCGTCTTCCATTACTGCAGGACTGTTTAATTCTCCATTTAACTCGGATACTGGAAATCAAGTAGTCTACTGAATTTTGGCTTTTCTCTGGCGCTTAGTTACGCTACTACGAGTTACCACTGATGGCATGGCAAATTTTGCCTTTCTGGCGAAAACGTTTGTTTCATCTGATAGTGTTTAGTGAATATACGCACATACACTAGTCGATTAGGCATCAATAAAAGTAAGATGTATTTTAATCTTAAATTTACGTAGAAGACGATTTCAATGACAGGGATTTACGTAACGATTGTCAGATATTGCCCGAGTCTCCCCAAGGACACACATAAATATCTGATAATAAAAAAGGTCACTTAGTAATAGAAGCAGTAAAATGTTTTCATATGCCAAAGCAGACAAGTCGCGTGACTGCGTGTACAATCAACGACGATGGATGTAGCATACAGCATTGTATATTTAAACTAAAGGTGCATTGTAGATAAATAATTTAATTTTCTACAAACCTGCATTTATCTATCTTTCGTTTATTTACCTACAAATATAGGTGCTTCGCAATTCTTTAAGTTACGTACCTTTCATTTCGTCGTTAAAGAGGGAATCTCCTCCAAGATTGCCTAGACTAAGGCCACTTTTATCAAATATATCCATCTCGCCCGTGTCCACAGTGAAAGGTAGCGCATCATCAAGCCCGAGCATGGCCTCTTCGTTCGCTTGCCCGGTGGCCATTACGTCTTTCATTGAAACCTGATCCATACTTGATAAAGTCGTTAAGCCAGACATTGCTGATGAATCTATTAGATCATGCATACCAAGTCCTCTTTCTGTCACAGAGGCCACATCGTCCATAACGACAGGCGCGTCGCTAATCGTTGGCAAGCCATGCTGGTGTACGGGTTTATGGAAGGGTCCGAGCATGAGGCCGTGGGCTGTTTTTAGAGCCACGGGGCCACGGATCGGACCCCTGACCACGTGCCGAGGAACGATAATAGGAATGGCTGCCGCTGACGTTTGCGGTCGTCCGAACGAGGCGTCTTCCGCAAACAGGTAACTTGAACCGCCACGAGCTCCGCGACCTCTGTAGAATTCACCGGTTGTTGCAGGCACACGATGAACATTAGCACGTGGACCATCATAGATAGGGGGTGGCAAACCGTGACCAATTGGAGCATGGCCCCTATAGGGACTGGGGGATCCGTGACCAGGATATGCGCTGGGAGGAGGGCTGTACACTGGGGCTGAATATAATCCATAAGGTGCTGCTTGATGATAAAACGGATGAGGCCCACGAGGACGGGGTGGAATTTCGTGTGACGATAACGATGGCGGTAGAGGGGAGGGGGGGGGCGGCGGTCCGTGAGTCGCCGGTGGAGGCGGTGGAGATGGCGGCGGTGGAGCAGGAGCCTGTACATAAGTTGGCTGTGATCGTGTTCCTAAGCCCATAAACGACAACAGGCTAGAAGAAATAGGTGACAGGCCAAAGAAACCGCCTAACCCGGACAATCCTGTAATACTCGGCATGCCAAAGCCGGCAAGCCCTACGCCCGGAAGGCCAGGTATGCCCGGTAAACCCGGCATGCCACCGAGACCCATCCTTCCCACCATCCACTGTGATATCCTCTGAGAAAGACTGGCTCTGGTTGTTTGCTGCGCCCACACCGACACTGGGCCACAGCTACAACACAACAGAACACACAAGACGGATAGCATAAGCACGCGCATTGTGGTTAGAGTGACCACGAAGTTTCCTCCTTCACTCACAAAAGAAAATGCCTAGGACGAGAAGCACTGGCTGCCCGAAAGGCGGGGCGTCCTAGGAAGTTACCTTTTTGACTAAACGTACCCTTAGTTATGAGAACAAAGTAAGTAAACCATCTGATGCACGTTGGGCGGCACCACTGGTCGGCTCCACTGTGTTGTCTGTTTAAGTAGCTATCATCGTGGACATGATGCTGTTCCCAGTCGCTGCGGCAGGGGGCGGAAATAGCACAACTAAAGCAAGCGCCCCACCGTCAGTGACCTAGTCTGAATTACGATTCTCTGTTGTGGCCGTCCACCCCGTACCCATTCCCGTTCTGATCCTCTCATCCACCTGCTTGTGCTCGGTTGTAAAGGTGTGACTGTTTCTGCTGTCCACGAAGGCAAGGGAGGATGGGTGCGGACGATCCAAACCGCCGTCGCATAGGTCTGCGCGCAAACGCCGTCAGGCAGCACACACCCCTATCACCCGTAGCAGCTTCGGCGCTAACTATGCAATTGCGACAGGCGCAAATTGATATATGAGAGAAGCGCGCTGCTGATCAGTGATCCACACCTGTTGAGAAAAGATCAACGCTATGCCGTTATGGCACCTTGCTTACCGTGGTCTAGCCCTAGTAGTGCCTTAACCGATGCCAATATTGTTGTTATTGATACTGTTGTTGTCATCAGTGTGCCCACAGCAACAGTGGAGTGCTAACAACAACAGGTAGCAGGTTCACTGCGTATCGATGAAAGACATTAAATATGTCGACCAGCAACAAACATCGCGGTCAACGTTGCCTTAACTGATAACCGCCTCACGGCCACCGCCTGTAATGCAAATACATGCAACCAAATACGTCGGAACGTTGAAAACAGATGAAAAGAAAAATTAAGTGGTTCTACTGTCCGGACCATAGATAAATAACAGCGATAACTACTACCACCACTATTACGACTGATGTTAGTACAACTATTTCTATATAATTTCTAGACGCACCCGTCTCTCTTTGTCTAAGTTCCCGTCCCTTCTCAGGCCTGTATGGACAAATAGTCGAATCAATTCTACAAGCGCGCTATTGCGTATTCCGTGCGCGTTAAACAACCGTTTATAGATTATACCTAGCAGCTTCTTCTTGCCGCCCCACGCGCAAAAATCGTTCGATACAGGGTAGCAGCATCTGCCACCGCTGCGTTGCAGGCAGGTGCGACCAACGTCCACTGCGATGGCGCGCGCGAACGACTCGATTGGATACGAGAAAAAGGCTAACGTCAAAAAGAGATAGAACGTGAGAGAAGTTAAGAAGAGCGTTAGCGATAGAAGCCAAATACGCGCAAGGATAAGATATTCAAAAAGATATCTAATTCAGCAGCTTAACGAATGAGAAAAGGGTTTTCAGGAGATGCAGGAGGTACAGCTATATACATGTGCCGCCTGATTTCTTTGTCGGTTTATCATCGTCGTCGGAACGTCACCAGGACTGAAACGGATCCTAAATGGCGACATTTTTGCTTATTGTTGTTCAAACGGTAACATATAACACCTGTAAGCGTTTAGACGACAGAGTTTCATATAGATGATGATTGCTGCGACTGCTTCCTGGAATTTTCCATTAGCGGCTTCAGCCTGTTCGCCATGAGAACGTCCGGTTCGTTTTGGTTTGCAGGACTCTAATCCCTATGTACTTATTACCTGGACGCTACTATAGCAATCACGTCCAATAAGAAGTCAACAGACCGCGGCCTAAGAACGTCATTGAATATAGATATGACAAGCTTTAAGTGCAACGCAAAATATTCTATTAATTACTAAACAAAATGATACTGGCGCACGTAGAGTTTCGGGCAAACACACTACTTGCCAATAGCCGAAGGCCATAAAGAACTCCAAAGTCTGCAAAAGCGTGCAGACAGACTTGCCTAAGGGCAGAAAAATCAACCTTGAAGGTCGACCATCGATTGAAGCTTTTGTAGGCATTCACAGTTTTTTTTTTTTTTTTTTTTTTTTTTTTTACCAAAACGTGTTAGCTTCTGTTTAGTATCATTCGCACGGACAGGTCAGAATTGTACGATAAAGCGCGTATCATCTGAGGCGGCTAGCTTGGGCGTCATCAGAAATCGTAAGCTCTACCTTGGGCATATCGTCGGAGTAGTGCTATGAGAACGAAGATGCAAGAAACGTAAAATGAGATTCATTTCAGCAAGTGTTCCATGTAAGAAACAAGCGACAAAAGTTCGACTACGTTTAATGCAATGGTTCCCATGCCTTAAATCTGTAGATGATATTCTGCCGCTAATCATCCACACATATTCTAGTTAGGAATGAGTGGGTCCTTCAATGAATCAATGCCGCGCGTTTTTCGCCTGTGTCCGTCACGCTTATATATCTATTATGATGTTGTTGTATATCTATGATGAAGTTGACTATTTTATTTCTATTTATATGTGGATTAGCTCCTCGAGTGGATTCAGTTATTCCTCGTTGGTGTTCAGTTTTTGGCATCCGCTATGGTTTAAAGATGATGTATAATATACATTCGGACTTTTTTTTTTGCCCACCTCTTCTCGTAAATTTCACGATGTTTTTCTTTGGGCTACTTTGAAGGCTTATCATTTTCAAACATATACCTAATTTAGACTGTATCTGGAATGGATCGGTTTGCCTGAGTGGCTGCCTTAAATATTAGTAACAATAATTATATTGGCATAATATATCTATCTATTCAAATAATAAGTAGTATAAATCTGTCTATAGAACTAATTGAATATCCACTGGAGATAGATACGTGCATTTTCTACTTGCCTTTGCATCTAAAATAGCTACTCTGACCGTTGTGTTAAATCAGCCGTATACCTTGAACAAACAAGGCTTCAATTAAAAGTAGTTCAGTTCTTTAAGGCGTATTTCAAAGGAACATTCGGCTCATTCCGCTCTGCTGGCTTCATAGAAGTCCCGTAATAGCCTAGTAGGTAACGTATTTGTCCACTAACGTTAGTGACACGTTGTCGTCTAGGTTCAAACGGGCATGGACGGACAGTTCGTTAGGACCGAGCGAGCCAGCCAGCCAGCCAGCCAGCCAGCCAGCCGGCCGTCTGACGGAGTGCCTTCCAGCGATGAACACAGGTGCTTTATAGAAGAAAGCGCGCGATATTGAAATGTTAGATTATCTAAAAGAAAACTTCTTCATGCGCACGGATATTCGTAGCCAACCCAGAGGCAATCTCCTAACTTTTGTAACTGCTTTAAGGTAAAGTAAGATAAAAATATGAAAAATTATTAACAATGAAAGACAAATAGGGAGAGAGAGAGAGAGAGGAGAGAGACTTGCTTCCTGCATGGAAGCGTTCATACGTTCGAAGTCAGTAATCAGTATGATAACAAAAAATATAAACATTAGAGAAGCTGTAAATTGTTTGTTAATCTGGACTTAGGAAAACGCCTTGATAGACAAAAGGCAAGGCACATTTGTATGTTCTACTTACTTCAGATAGTAAATTTATGAACTAAATTAAATGGGTCAATTTACGTTTTCTCTATCGTTCTGACACAGAGACTTGGCCAATGCCGTGTCAACGATATCGTGTAGAGACTATATAAAAAGAACCGGATTCGTCACGGGCCACTCGAAGAACGTGCCCTGTGCACTTCGTCTGAGAACTTGAACCTATCATAGTCGCTACGGCAGTGCTCAACTGTACACGAATACTTATGGCTCTCATCTACGATATACAATTTTGGGATTCGAAGCGGTACGAGCCCGTGTAGAAGAAGAAGAAGCCATAAGTATCGGAAAATACCACGCCGTTGTAAAATAGCGCTATTTTCTAATACGAGATGCCAATTTTTAGCGTTTTGAACCTGTAAGTGATTGTTTTTTTTAGAAATATATCTTTTTGCAAATTTTAGGAATCGACAGCAGGTGTCAGCAAATTCTATGGACTTAATGATCTTTTTAAATCTCTTGGCGGTAGTAATTTTCAAAGTTACACAAATGCAGCGGGCGCGATATATCTAGAGCGCGACAAATCAACTTTAGTAATTGTACACATGGAGATGCCGAGAGTGTATTTCCGTGACCTTCAGATGCCCTACAACACGTTTACGCAGAAATAAATAACGTTTTCTTAGACAAGAAGAGCGATATGGCACGCTAACACTTTACAATTCCCTAAGTAATCAGCCAGCTTGCATTTTCAACAATTTACTATGGATTATTCGAGAAATTTAAGAAAATCATCCGCCTCGAACTTCAAATGTTCCAAATAAAATTAACCGCAATTTTACATCAACTTGCTTCAACATGAGGCATCGATAGAACTGCTGCTTCATCTAAAATATAGCCAGTAACCAATTAACGACACCATTGATCCGCTCGAGCGGTCTCTGGAGTCCTTGCAAAAGCGACGATACTGTACACGACAAAAGATCCTGCCGGCGTTCCTCTCGATACATCCTTCGTCCAGCAAACATTGTAATATCTTAGTGTTCTTAGTATTACTATAGTAACTATCATCAGTGTTGTTATCACTATCTGTAAATTATGGTCCGTGACTATGAGCCTTGAGCTGTCGTCAGCTACGGCCTTATCACGATGCGGCGGGCGTAACTCTTATTGCCATGTTTATTCACTCGTTGGCCGATTCATTGCGACAACGCCTCCCAATACAGGATCAAATGTTCACATAGCATCGTTATGTGCATGGTACGACATATACAAACAAACACACAGACTATCAAAATATGCTGCGATCATATCACGTAATAAAAACAATAATAACAACTCCAGCTGCCGTCAAACGACGAGACCTTAAGGGAAGAAGTAAAATCACGCTGAAACTACGGCTATATTGTCTCAAATAGGATTATAACGAATATATTATTACTATTATCTGTTTTTCGCCGCTCTTTCCCATCATTTTGTGCCGTGGCATGACGGTCTGCCGTATCATTGTGTTACATCTTGGTAAAGACAGGTGCTGCTGTTAGGGGTGTTAACGGTATAGCAGAAGTAAAAAGTGACTGGTATATATTTGTTGAAGTAGAAGGTGCAACGCAAGAGTGAAGGCGACGAAGATAAACAAAAATTTATAACAATTATTTAGTGGTGATTTTTAGGGCGGTTGTGACAAGACTAAGA